TTATCATCAGCATATTGGAGTTCTACAATAGATGTTATATTTGTGTGTATATACATACATACATACATACACACAACATATGGAACCAACTGTACTTATATATATCTTCTTAGGCGATCCCTTGTTGTACGAGTAGGATAGTCTTCCAGGATCGGTGTACTGGTGGGTCGGTGGGTGACTGTGGAGCCCTATTCTTGATCTGCATCTTCTCCCGCAGTGAGGGCATTGGTTTCCAGGTGGAAGGCGGTCCTGGTTGGGGTTGGCTTGACGTGCCTTCCTCTTGGCACGTTTCTCTTTTGCCCTCCATTTGTGCCTCTTCAAATTCTACAGCACTAATGGTCACAGCTGACCTCCAGCTGGAGCACTCAAGGGCCAGGGCTTCCCAGTTTTTAGTTTTTAAGATTGGCTTTGATTATATTATACCGAAGGAGAAAAAAGACCCTGAACAACTAAAAAACTATAGACCAATCTCTTTACTTAATTTGGATTATAAAATATTTAGCAGCATATTGGCAGAGAGACTAAAGAATTTTTTAACAAATTGGATAAAAGAGGAACAATCGGGATTTCTACCAAATCGTTATCAGCGTGATAATGTGAGAACTATTATAAATTTGATTGATTACTACGACAAAAATATCCAAAAGGAAGTGATGTTCCTGGCCCTGGATGCTGAAAAGGCATTTGACCAGATTAATTGGAATTTTTTCAAACTATTACTACAAGTGATGGACATTGGCTACTACTTTTTAAATTCAATTGAAGCTATTTACAAAAATCAACAAGCGAAAATTATAGTAAACGGCCAGGAAACAAAACAAATTGAAATAAATAAAGGAACCAGACAGGGCTGTCCGCTCTCGCCTCTGATCTTTATTTTAACAATGGAAATTTTACTAAATGAAATAAGGGGAAACAAGGAATTGAAAGGAACCACAATTAGAGGACAAACATACAAGTGTAGGGCGTTTGCTGATGACGTTATATGCATAGTTGAGGACCCATCCACAAAATTAGAGAAATGGTTTGAAACGATCAAGAAATTTGGGGAGGTAGCGGGCTTTAAATTAAACATGGACAAAACAGAAGCAATAACAAAAAACATCCCCAAGAAGAATTTGGCTGCAATTGAGAAAAAATGGAATATCAAAATAACATCAATATCAATATCAAAATAACATCGAAAATAAAATATCTGGGAATAACTATATCTGGGAATAACTATATCACCAAATAATGCACAACTGCTACAAAACAATTATACAGCAAAATGGAATGAAATCAAACGAGATCTGGAAAAATGGAAAAATCTAAAACTATCAATATTAGGTAGGATAGCATGTGTAAAAATGAATATACTACCAAAAATGTTATTTTTATTTCAAAACTTACCAATCATAAGGAATAAGAAAGGCCTAAACCAATGGAATAAGAATATAAAGAAATTTATCTGGCAGAATAAGAAAAACAGAATAAGTTTTAAAAATATAACTGATGAGAAAAATAGAGGGGGATTGGCAATGCCGAACTTAGAGATATACGCAGAAGCATGTGCGCTAACATGGACAATTGATTGGATTAGGCTAGAAAATGAAAAACAATTGAATTTGGAAGGCCACGACCTTAGGAAAGGGTGGCATGCATATATCTGGTACGGGAAAAGAAAAATAGAAAAGGGCTTCGGAAATCATTTCACCAGGTCGGCGATTATAAAAACATGGGCGAAATATAAAGAAAGAATTTATAATAAAACCCCGCTATGGGTATCACCCCTAGAAGCTTGTCAAAGAAGGGAGCTGGGATGGATAAAGTGGCCTTGCTACAGAGTAATAATAGAAAAAAAAGATCAGGAGATACACCTAAAGACCCAAGAAGAAGTAAAGAAATTATACCCAAACATTACATGGCTGCAATACAGACAATTAAAAGAATCTTTCATGACGGACAAAAAAATTGGCTTCATGCAAGAGGATAATATCTGGGACAAAATTATAAGATCCAGGAAAAAAACAATATCATTAATATATAAAAAATTATTGGAATGGAACACGGAAGAAGAAAGAGTAAAAGATTGTATGGTGAAATGGGCCGGCAATATAGGGAGACCAATAAATCTGGCAGAATGGGAAACCATATGGAAAAAAAATTAAAATATACGAAAGCTTATGACCTAAAGGAAAATTGGCTTAAACTATTCTATAGGTGGCACCTAACACCCCAGAAGTTGGGAAAATTTTATAAGAACTTAAACACCAAATGTTGGAAATGCGGGGAAACAACGGGCACGTACTACCACATGTGGTGGAACTGCAAAAAAGCCAAAAGATTTTGGAAAGAAATTCAGGAAAAATTACAATATATAATGAAAATTAAAATTCCACTCTCCCCAGAAATATTCCTATTGGGAATAACAGAAGAGGAAACAGACAGGAATGTAGACAAATTACTATTCTTAGCGACAACAGCGGCGAGAATATGTTACGCCAGGTATTGGAGAAAGGAAGCGATACCGGAGATTGAAGAATGGGAGACGAAGTTTATGGAGGTAAAGAACATGGACAGGTTAAGTTATTTAATGCAGAAAAGCAAAGGAATAACAGAAAAAGAAACAGATTGGACAAGAATAGACGAATACTTCAATGAGAAAGGACTCAGGAACTAAAGATGGGAGAAAGAACATTTCCAAGACCCGAACGAGAAAAAGAACAAATAGGAAATAGGAAAATAGAAAAACAAGAAGGAAAGAAAAGGAAACTCCCCGCTAAGGACACCCGGAAGACAGGCCGAAGGAAGGGGGAAACCTCGATTTTTGTCTCTATTACTTTTAAAGCACTCTTTACACTTCCCTTTTCTTGACTTTCTATACCCTCACTTAAACTCACCCCATTCTCCTCTAAGTCTATTTCCCACCCACTTTTCTCTCCCTCCTATTGGTCCTCTATTCTTTTTCTACTTTTTCTGAATTCCTATACTGATATACTCCTTTTTTTTAACTACTGCTTTCTTTTAATTATATGTATTGGAAAAACGTGAATAAAGATTAATAAAAAAAAAAGATTGGCTTTGAGCCCATCTTTAAATTAATGGGACCAACTGTATATATATTAAAGTACAGTTTTTTTTAATTGTTTTATTGGTTTTTCCCACTCCCACCCTCCCCTCCTTGTACATGCCATTTATACATCAAACTACAGAAGTTACATTTGAAATATCAGTCTCAGTCTTAATTTTTCTACTCCACATCTTAACACATTCTCTAAATAATTCCTAACTGGTTCCCACATCCTCTTAGTTATTGTAACCTTTTCAATTTTATCTATATTATTCCATTTGCAATTTGTTATTTCCACATTTAACATATTCACTATATAGTTATACCAATTAATCAGCGTCCATTTTGTTTTGTCTTTCCAACCCCTCACTAAAACAATTTGTGCACAAGCGATTAATTTGTCAACCATTTTTTCCTTTTGTATATTCTTCACTCCTGCTATTCGTGCATGTAGTATATTTCTATTAATTATTACTATTTGTAAGTTTAACATTCTATTGATTTCCCCTTCAATCCTTTTCCAGTATTCTTGCACTTGATCACATTCCCATATCATATGATTAAACACCCCTCTTTGTTCACAGCCATGCCAACACCTATCCTTTATCCCTGGTAAAAAACGTGAAAGTTGTGCAGGAGTTCTGTACCATTTTTGTAACATTTTCCTTCTTGCTTCCCTTAATACATTATATTTTCTTTTGCTATATTACTTATTTCCCTTTGGATGTCTTCCCTCTCAATTTCCATATCCAATCTCCATGTTTGGAAAATTTCCTCTATTATTTCTTCTTTTACTGTTATAATTTGGTCGTACAGATCTCCTGCCACTTTCTTCTCCCCTCTCAAACATTTCCTAATCACCTTCTCAAATGGACTATCCTGTTCTCTAATTTTCCCCCTCCGTCTAAAAATTTCCTGTCTTATAGCCCAGCTTTGAATCCAATTCCCTGACCCTATCCAATTCTGAATTTCTTTTTGTTCTACGGGGTTTCCATCCTCTGTATATAGATCCTCTACTAACCTTTTCCCTCTGCTTTCAATCAGTCTCAATGTTCTGCCTATCATTTCATCATTATTATAATTCATTTGCCATATAGTTGCCATCTTATTCTCATTACCTGGATTTAACTTCTTCTTTCTTTTTTTTCCACACTTTTACTGTTCCTTTAAAGGGTTCCTTAAGTTCTGTTTCCTCTCTCCTCTTCCATTCCCTAAATATTATTTCTTTTCCTTTAATATTATTATCTTCTCCATATTTACCCATTTTTTTTCCGTATACTGTATTTCCAGCAATCTTTGGATTTGAAATGCATCATGATAAACTTCCAGACTGTGACTCCAGAGGCCCAACTCAGCCATGGCTGACTTTAGACAAGTCACACTCTCACAGCTTGAAAGGCCAGTAAAGGTTAGCCCCTTCTGGACGAATCTTGCCAAGGACATGAAGACTAGGAGGGCCCAGAAGGGACACTCATGAGGGAAAGTGGAGGAGCCAGAGAGTGGCTTGTGTGTTGTGAGGAGAGAGAGGGCGTGCGGAGGGGGGAGCGCACCCCCCTGGGAAGAGCCTGCCTCGCTGTTGCTGGGGCGAGGGCGGTGATGTCAGCGGCTGCCTCTGCGCTCGCGCTGGCTCTTCCCCCAGCCACGCCCCCCTCCCTCCCTTCCCCCCTCCCCGGGCATTCCCTGGCTGTTGATACAGAACAGCCCCGCCCTTTCCTTTGCTCAGGCTCCAGCTTGGCTCCACCCCCTTTCCCTCCCTCGAGCGACCTTTCCCCTAGTTTCCAAAGGGGTGGCTCGGCTCCTCTGCCGCCGCCGCCGCCGTGCCCACGCGGGGCCTTTCCTGCTCGGAGCCGAGCTGCACGAGGCCATCACGCCGCCCGCGAGAGCCGATTGGCCGGCTGAAAGGCAGCTCGGGACGCGATTGGCTGCGGCGCGCCACACTCTTCCCCCGTTCGCTCTGTCCTCCTCCGCCCCTTCCAGCTGCTCGTGCTGGATGGAGTGTTTTGGTGGGTTTCCTTCTGTGTTTTGGCGGCGCGCCTCCCTGCAAGGAAGGAGGGAAGGAGGAGGGAAGGGAAAGAGGCGGGGAAGCAGCAGGGGGAGCGCTCCGGCGGGCTTTGTCACATCTGCTGCTGCTGCTGCTGGGGCTGCTGCTCACTGCAGGAGCCCTTCTTCACCATGCACACCGAGGAGATGGGGGACAGCCCCGCGGTGAGTGCCGGCTTCGAGTCGGATCAGATCCGCTTCAAGGGGAGGGGCGGGTGGGATGGGATGGAGGATGATCCAGAACAACTCCTGCCTAGTTAGGTTTTTCATTATATATAAATGCATCACACTCTCTCTCTGTATACAGAGTGTCCCAAAAATGTAAACATCCTTAAAATGCTTAATGTGAAATCATTATTATTTTATATTTACTTGCAATTTGATAAACATTGGTAAACCAGGAGATCTAATGCAGGCTAGTTAGATCTGTATCTATTTATCTACAATGTTGTTATAATATTTGCAATTTATTTTCACAAAGTATACACCCATAACCGTTTATCACCCAGTATGATAATAATAGTAATCTTATTTGTTCGTTATCTCAATAATGTACATACCTTTTAACAGTTTATAATGCTGGAATTATTGTTGTTGTTGTGATTGTTTCATTTTAAGTTATTTCAAAAAGGCATACACCTTTAACTGCTTATAATTCTGGAATTATTATTGTTATTATTATGACTCTTTTATTTGCAAGTTATTTGTACCTTTAACTGCTTATAATTCTAGAATTGTTGTTGTTGTTATTATTATTATTAGGACTGTTTTATTTGCAAGTTATCTGTACCCTTAACTGCTTATAATTCTGTACCTTTACCTGCTTATAATTCTAGAATTATTATTGTTGTTATTATTATTATAACTTTTATTTCCAAGTTATTTGTACCCTTAACAGCTTATAATTCTGTACCTTTAACTGCTTATAATTCTAGAATTATTATTATTGTTGTTATTATTATGACTGTTTTATTTGCAAGTTATTTGCACCCTTAACTGCTTATAATTCTGTACCTTTAACTGCTTATAATTGTGGAATTGTTGTTTTATTATTTTTATTAATACATACCTCAAAAGGTATACACCCATAACAGCTTATCATTTTCAAATTATTATTATTATTATTATTATTATTATTATTATTATTATTATTATTATTATTATGGAATTGTTGTTTTTATTATTGTTATTAATACATACCTCAAAAGGTATACACCCATAACAGCTTATCATTTTCAAACTATTATTGTTATTATTATTATTATTATTATTTGAGGTTTATTTGAAAAGTGTAGAGTCCAATAAGAGCATATAAATCTGGAATTATTATTATTATTATTATTATTATTATTATTATACTGTTATGTGCAGTTTATCTCAAAAATACATGTATCCATATCAGTTTTATCATTCTGGAGTTATAAATATTATTAATATTAATTGCAAGTAATTTATAGTTCTAGTATTTCCTTATTTATTTTGCACCCTCCCCCTTCCCTATGTATACATCCTTATCAGATTCCAATAGCAGTGAAGTGTCAGGATTAAGAAGTCCAATAGGAGGGATGTGCCATGAAATCAGAAGAGAAACTTTCAAGTGAGGTCTGCCACTCTGTGTTTGGACAATGAGGGCAGTGGCACTGCTGCACAGGGGCCATTTCAACACTTTACATTGTAGTTTAAGGCGGGGTTTGTCACTCTGATCAAACCATACCTATAATATTTAACAACAACAACAGCAACACTTTATTTATATTCAGCTCTATTTCCCAAAGGAGACTCAGAGCAGATACTCTTCTTGAATTCAATATACATTAATTTACTTCCGATAACTAGTATGGCTATTATTATGATGAAGTGTGTGTGTGTGTGTGTATAATATTTTAAGGGAGGTGGTACCCTATGTACCTTGCAAGTGTTACTTTGTGAGTGGGTTTGCCAGGTGGTGTGCCTGAGAGATGCCTTAGTGTTGCATGATGCCAGGGCTGTTTCCCAGCGCTTTTAAGGCAGATAATCTGTTTTGACAAAGCCCATTGCTTTCAAGGTGGTCTGCAATGGGCTTATTTCTAACTTACCCAGTGTTTGTGTGAAAAACACTTCAGAATCCCTTTCTTTGAATAGATGACTGGCAGTTGTGTGTGGGATGCTGGTAGGAGGGGACATTGATTCTCCTTTTAGTGTTGTTTTTGTTGTTGTTATATTTATTTGTACCCTGCTTTTCCCTTTTGATCGACACTCAAAGTGGCTCATAACCTTATAGACAAACTACAGCATACAAATATGGAAACAGAATTAAACATACCATTGTTAAAACAGGCCAGTGGAAATCTGGGTGGCCACAGGAGGTGCATCCAGAAAAATCATGGTCAGGATTCTATGTCACGCTCATAGATGCATAGCCTACGAATCCATATCAATAATCTTTACATAGGGTGCATTACAGATGTAAACCGAATGCAGTTTTACACCACTTTGATTGCCATGGCTCAATTATAGAGAATCCTGGGAGCTCCCAGCACTCTTTGTCAGAGAAGGCTAAAGCCTTTGCAAAACTACAACTCCTGGGATTCCATAGCAATGAAATCACAGCACTTGAAACTGTATTAATTCTATAGATCCACCCTTGTAAGGAAGTGGTACTTATAGTTTGAGGGAATTGCCAGTAAGTGAGGCGGGTGGACTCTGCCTTCCCTTGGTACCTCCTGCCTCGCCCGTTGACTAGTCACCACTGACGCATGCAGTATATTGTGCTTTCGGGTGAGTAATCTCTCTGCGCCGTGGTCCACTGTTGCCTGGTGATCTAGCACAAAGTAATGAGTGCGGGAGAAGCTGATTGCTTCCTTGCTTGGTTTATGTGTGTGTGCAAAACCTCAAAATTGGGCGTGTTATTTCTCCCCCCTCCCCACTCCAGATTATCAATGTTCAGTCTTGCCCAAAGATTGCATGCCATCTCATACACTTCTTTGCTTTCCAGCCAGGCCAGTGTTGTAGACCCCAGCACCACGCCCCCCAACATTGGCTCAGCCAGAGACCACCACCCACTGGCTCACAGGGCTATTTTGATGCATGACGTCGACCCACTCCTTCCCTCCACCCCACTCCGGCTATATTTGGAGTGGGTGGCTGCTCTGGCTCCCATCCGGTGGGAAGGAGAAACCCTCCCATCCTGTTCTTCTCTGCAATTGGCAGGGAGTTTGTAATTTGGCCTGGCTGCTTGCTGCATGTCAGTCTCCATCTCTTCCTCTCTCACACGCACACCCTTTTCTTTTTCTAGTCTGGTGAAGCAATGGGAATAGTGAATCACCCCTCTTTCCCCTTTCCCCCCACTTTGGATAATGCCTATGTTGGTCCAGTACAGTAAGCTGACGGGGAATTTCCAATTGCCTTTGTGCGGCTGCAGATTTTGCGGCGGCCGCTTCGTGAGCCCTGTGTGCCAGCTCATCCGGCTTGCCTCTGCAGTCTGAGCGAAGGGAGGTGATTTAAGGACAGGCTGCCCAGCAAAATTATGCCGTTGCCTGACTGTCTGGAAGTCAAGCTGCGCAACTCTCTCGCTTTCTCTTTCTCAGTCTCTCTCTCTCTCCATTTCTCAGTCCCTCTCTCTTAAAGCTTATTAATCTATTGTGGATTTCACAAGGTAGGTGATTTTGGACCTGATCCAAAGTTCGACTGAAGCAGTTATATTCCTCAACAGTAAAACATTTGAATAAGCATTTTCATATTTTAGCACCTACTCATGCTTCCCCCCCCCCCAAAGCCAAGTGTTGCAGATACTAAGAAGCTGCCAGTTTCTTCTCCTCTTTCTCCTTCTTCCTCTCCTCCTCCTCCTCCTCCTCCATCTTTTTCTTTGTGCAGTTATTATTATTTATATCATACATGGTGCCACCTTCCAACTAGAGGTATTGCTTAATTTACTAGTCTGCCTTTCTTACCCAAAACAAGGCAGCTTATGAAAATTGCAGTCCTATAGATAAAAATACATGCAAAGATATCGGTAAAATCATACAAACAAATATTGTTGGCCTGCAGTGGAAGCCATTAAAACCTTTTAAATCAAAACCACTGGAAAAACAAGAGATCAAAGTCAATATGGATCAGAGTCAATAAATGTTAACTGTTAAAAGCAGTTATAATCTAAAGACCTGATGGGCAATGATTGAGATATTTAGATAGATATTCTCATATTCTCACAATGTTTTCCCTACCCTTAGCTTAAAAAGGTTAAAATAGATACTGTTAAAATTATGCATCATTTAAATGATCAAAATATATTTTGAATTGAAAGCAATTAAAAGCCTGACTGTTCAAAAGAAAACAAAAAGCAGTCCAAGACATTCTGAAAATCCAATCTTCCTCGAATTAAGCAGCTCTCAAAGAATTGTTGAAACAAAAAGGATAGAAAGGATAGAAAAGTCTTCTCTTGCTAAATGAAGGACAGCCATCACAGGATTCCTGTGCACCATTGACCATGTTACCTCTTGGGTTTCAATTAAAGAGCAATAAGAAGTAATGCTGATGAGTAGGGAGCAGATGAAGATGTCTTCCTCTGTTTCAATATTTCTGTTCCCTGCTTCTACTTGAATCTTCCAAATTATTTCTGCTTCAATAACCCACCACCCATTGCCAGAAAACAGAGACCACCCCCCAGAAAGTCTGGAAATCCACTTTTGGATTTTATTTTTTGTTAACACTGCAAGGGAAAACTGCAACCTATATAGAAGGTGATTTGGAAGCTAAGCGGTATAAAGCCATGGTGGTGCAATGGGTTAAACCACTGAGCTGCAGCACTTGCTGACCAAAAGGTTGACGGTTCAAATCCGCAGGATGTAATGAGCTCCCACTATTAGGCCCATCTTCTGCCAACCTAGCAGTTCGAAAACATGCAGATGTGAGTAGATCAATAGGTACTGCCTTGGTGGGAAGGTAATGGCCCTTACACACGCACACACAATGCCTGGAACAATGAAACACAGATAAAGGTAAAGGCTTTATATAAAAGCCTAGTTAGTCATTGGATAGGGGATCACCAAGGAATAGCAGGTGCTGTGTGTTATATTCAGAGTAAGGCAATTGCAAACCACCTCTGAGTATGCCTTTCTCAACCCTCCCCCCATGAAGTTCTTCGGGTTGTCGTAATTCAATAGGAGGCCTAAAATTGCATGCATAAAAGAAAAATATAAGAGGTGAATTTCTTCTTGTCAGAACAACCACGGTTTGCAGGAGCGTGGCCAGTAATAGGGCTGCGAAAACACATCTTGTCTAGCTGTGCTCTGATGGTAGTGAGCCTATCCACATTTGTTTTCTTGAGCATTGCATGAAGTGAAAAATAGGCAACACCACAAAGTCGTGTCGATTACCTGAATATCAAGATGGCTGGTTTTATTTATTTCTTCTTCTTCCTTTTCATTCCAAGTCGGAGAAGTCAGATGACACTTCTTTAGGCTATGTATTTCATATTGGTTTCATCATACACAGAGCTATTTTTGGTTGGGTGTGTATGTTAAGAAGAAACTACTTGGAGCCAGCCTGTGGTTCAGATTTATAAATTATAAGTACTATGATTAGCAGCCCTTTAGCAAGTTGTGTATGTGGAGCTTACCATCCAAATGGTTTATTTCATTTTCTTTGTAAATATGACTTTCTGATTAGCCACTTTGAGAGTTTGGATTTGCACTCTATCCATGTGATAGTGAAAAGTACGGTCTTGGTGTGAGACATTTCCATAATAATGTGATCCTATTTCCGTAAGAGTATGATCACAATGCTTTCAGTTACCCATGACTCATGGCTGCCGTCAGTCCATTGTTCTTCCTTGCCTTTTCTTTAGGTGAAGCAGTGAAGGATGGATGGATGCAGCACCACCTGGCTCTCTCTCCTTCCCTCCCTCGCTCCCTACTTACTTATATTGTTCCCTCTCTCTCAGCTTATTCTCACTGGTTGTGGGGTAAAGTGGATGAAGGTTGTCCCCCTGTGCTCCACCACTACCTGATTCATGTAGCAGACAGCATGCACTAGCATCTCCACAGTCAAGGAGGGAATCCAATATTCCTGTTTCAAGTTAGACAGGTGGAGGAGTGGCTGCATGAACCTGTGTACTAGGCATGTGCAATCCATGGTTCTAAAGTACTTACAAAACTAAAATTCTGGTGGTGAAAACTAGGGGGCGCTGGTGCTTTGCTTCTATAGTGTTGCTAAAGTTCTAGTGGTGAACATTTCAGAACTCTAACAAAACTTTCAAAATTTCATTATTATTTAATTATTGCTGATTTTTATGACAGAACCAATTAGGAACTACCATTTATAATGAAATTTTGAAAGTTTTGTTAGAGTTCTGAAATTTTCATCACCAGAACTTTAGCAACACTGTAGAAGCAAAGCACCAGCGCCCCCTAGTTTTCACCACCAGAACTTTAGTTTTGTAAGTACTTTTGAACCATTTAGAACCATGGATTGCACATGCCTACTGTGTACCTCTTCTGGTGTCATGCGTCACACTCACAGCAAGGACAGAAAGAAGGAAGGAAGGAAGGCTGCCTGGGTGCTTCATCAATACTCCTTTTGCATCTGGTCATTTTGGGAGCAGTGGTTGGGTAGATGGTCCAACGACTGGTTGACCAGCTTCTTGGTTCCAGCTCCCTTTTCATCTAGACACTTTGGTATCAGGTGGTCGGCTGGCATGGGGTCAGCTTTCCTTCTCATCCAACAACCAACAAGTATGGGGAGGGGGGACCCTCAGAGGCCCTGCTGGAAGGGAGGGAGGGAGGGAGGGAGGGAGGGAGGAAGGAAGGAAGGAAGGAAGGAAGGAAGGAAGGAAGGAAGGAAGGAAGGAAGGAAGGAAGGCTGCTCAGTTACTGCTTCCTTTACATTTAATCATCTTCAGGACAGGAGCCCCAGGTGGCACCATGGGTTAAACCAGGACTGAAGACCGACAGGTTGGAGGTACGAATCTGGGAAGAGTGTGGATGAGCTCCTTCTGTCAGCTCCAGCTCCCCATATAGGGACATGAGAAAAGCCTCCCACAAGGATGGTAAAACATCCAGATGGTCCCTGGGCATTGTCCTTGCATACAGCCAATTCTCTCACAGCAGAAGTGACTTGCAGTTTCTCAAATTGCTCCTGACAGGAAAAAAAAATATCTTGGGGCCATGATTGAGGAATCTGCTGGCTGGCCTTTTCTATTTGCATTTGAAAATATAGCACCCAACATCAATGAAGAACATGGTTTCATGTAGTGCCTCTCTCACCTGAGTAAAGAGTATCTATCTCTTTCCTTGGGTGGGAAGCAAGAAATCGAGGTAGGGGCAACCTAGTTTTGGCTGGAGCAGACAAACACTAGCAGCTGTGCAAAGTGGTGTGTGACAGAGAGGAGACAAATCCCCATCCTCCTCTCCCACCACCAATGCATGTGGAGCTCAACAAGCCCAGGAGGGTGGAAAGGAGGTAGAATTGAGGGCAGGAACCAGAGGTGTAGGACCATCTTCAGAGGATCTGAAGATGCCATCCACAGATGCAGGTGAAATGTCTGCGGAAAAGGCTGCTATAAGTCAGTCATACAGCCTGGAAACCACACAACACTCCAGGGATCCCAGCCATGAAAGCTTTCAACAATACAATATTCAGTAATCTTTGAAAATTTGTTAAAAATGTTTTTTAATTCAATAAATCCTGACAGGAAGAATCTTAGTGTGATTTTATTTCCAGTTTGGAAATTATTTTGTGCACAATTGAGATATGGCTGCTTTGCCGTTTCTTGCACAAAGTGAATATAGTCAAAATACTTCACAGAAAATGTTGACTTTGGAGAAGATGCTGTGCTTGGGAACTCATTCTGTACAAAATTTGTATGTAGTTGATTTGTAAAGAAAATGGCATTTTCTGCACAAGATATAATATTTCTTTGCAGAAAGATGACCTGTGCTGAAAAGTCTGTTCCCTGCACAGAAAACACTGGATTCTGTGCAAAACAACCACATGTGAATTTTATACAGAATAATCCTGAATTACACATAGACATTGAAAATTACAGTTTTCTTACAGCAGGAAGAAAATTGCTAGAATTACTCACTACCTCCATCTAGAAGAAACAGCAAAATATTAATCCCTGCCTCTGACTCAGAGTTTTGATAGATGTAGCATATGGGGAGGTTACACGTTTGCTCCACAAGCTAATCTCATCTCCATTTAGATTTTAAGTGCATTGTAGAACTGAGTTGTGCTTTGCAGGCCTGCAAAATATCACAGTTGTGGTTATTTCCCAAGTCGATATTAGAGGTTTAAACCCTCTACTGTATATCCAAGAACATCTGGATATATGATAAGTTTCTAGGTAGAATATAAGTGTGTGTTAGCTTTGTTTCCTGGTTGGCTAACAAATTGCATTTTCATTATCTCCAGGTTGACATTGTAGACATCTACGAATCCATACGTGAACGACAGCGTCACGACAGCGAAAGGTCTACTTGTAGTACCTTGGAGCAGAATGACATAGAAGCTGTTGAGGCGCTTGTTTGCATGAGTTCCTGGGGTCAAAGGTCACAGAAAAATGATCTGCTCAAGATACGACCTCTTACACCTGTCTCAGACTCAGGTGATTTTGCAATGCACACCGAACCCACGTCTGATTTGCCCAAGGATTACAACTTCCTATCTACGCTGGTAAGGGAAATGCACTAATTTAATCTGCTGATATTTATTAAAAGGATTTGTTTTTAGGATTTTGTGGTGAATTTGGAATAGCTTTGGAAGCCACCTTGGGTCCCACTCTGGGAGAAAAACAAAAGTAACAAATAAATTAAATAGGGTAGAAAATTCATTTTAAAGGTCTAAATCTGAATGCAGGGTTATTATCATGCATTAAGGGGTAATTTTTGGAAGCCATCTTGAGTCTTGCTGTAGGAGAAAGGCAGCATACAAAAGCAACACATAACTGAAATAAATATGGTAACTAACGTATATGTTTTAATGGCCTGAATGTAAGAGCACTGATTGTCAGTACTAGATCATTAAAGGTTAAGGTAAATATTTTCCCCTGACGTTACGTTTATTCATGTCTGACTCTCGGATGCAGCCGGCATGACTGCATGGAGTGCCGTTACCTTCCCCCTGGAGCGGTACCTATTGAACTACTCACATTTGCATGTTTTCGAACTGCTAGGTTGTCTGAAGCTGGGCCAAACAGCGGGAGCTCACCGTTCTCCCTGGATTCGAACCACCAACCTTGCAGTCAGAAAGTTCAGGAGCTCAGCGGTTTAACCCGCTTCCCCAACAAGGGGCCACCAAATCATTACCATACCATAAAGCAGAGCCTTCCATGCTATATCTTGTAACACGTTATGCAGAGTGTAGTGAAGAATGATAAAAATCTTGGAAATGTATGTTGTTATTGTACTAATAATATATATTTTAAAATATAAATTAAAGTTTATCATGAGATATGTTGTGTCCCCATACATTTTGTCATGACAATTTATCTATGTGTCCATATCTCTTATAAGGGAATGGTTTAACCTCTGGTTTGCCAGTCTGTGTCACAAAATGATGCATGTCTAAAAAGTGTGTCACCAATATGAAATGTTTGGAAAGCTCTGACTTAAAGGGAAATGTTTGAACATTTATATATTAATACCTTATCTCTCTTTTTCTTTTTAATGTAAAAATGTAGTGCATGACACCGCCCTACAGTCCAGATTTTGTCGAGCCCTCCACAACCACATCGCTTTCATCACTAGCCACATATTCAAAGTCCAGGGCAATGAAGGCAAACGTCTCTGCCAGTCAAGCCACTCCTCCAGCCCAGTCATCTGCACCAAACACAGAGAGACCGCCCAGTCAGAAGGCAGCCAGAGCTGAGCAACCTGTTCCTCCGCTTTGTAGAGCCATGGCAACGAGTGTGATCCGTCACACAGCCGACAGTTCTAGTTACTCCCGCATTCCTGTTGTGCAAGTGAAAGCAGAAACGGTATCTGGCCCCAGCACTTCGACAGACCACCGCCAGGAAGAAGTGATGCCGGAGGAGCCACATTCCAGTGTTTCACGGGACTGCCGGACTGCGGACAGCTTAGTCCGTGATTCTTCCCCAGTACATGAGACCTGCTTGTACAACTTAGCTGAAAAAAGTCATGAGCTGCAAAGGTTGACACCTGAGCAGGTGCCTTTCCCAAAAAATGGCGACAACGATATGCTGCAAAAATCCCCTCCGCTTTTACCCACGCCCATTTCAAGCCCGCCAGTGATCTGCCAAATGATCCCCTTGGAAGGGCAGAGAGGTATGGTCCCCACCTTCCTGAAGCCGCCTTCTCCAACTGCAGCCAGTGTCAAGCCCATCTTGCCCCACACGGCCCCAGTTCCCCAGCCAGTTCTGGTGGGGCCTTCCATGCCCCAAGGGACTGTCATGTTGGTTCTTCCGCAGGCAACCGTCGCCCAGGCACCGTCCTGCCAACAAGCGGTGATGTCGGTTGGGAATACGAAGCTTTTACCTCTAGCCCCTGCTCCTGTTTTCATCGCCTCCAGTCAAAACAGCACACCCTTAATGGACTTTTCCCGGAGGAGGAATTATGTTTGCAATTTTCCGGGCTGCAGGAAAACATACTTCAAAAGCTCCCACCTGAAAGCTCACCTACGTACACATACTGGTAAGGTATAGGCAATAACAAAGGCAATACATCCCTATAATTGTTGCCTTGTGAAATAACCAAATATTGAGGCATTCATCGATGATGAGAAAGTGGGGAAATGATTGCCTGGTGGGAAAAGAGACTGTTTTCAAGCCCATGAAAAAAGCACAGTTGAGACACTGTTAAAGCTTCTAAGCTGCATGCATCCTGAATACATGGAGAGGGGAGCAGAAATCACATTAATTCCCCCCATGCCCCCATACCGTCCAGGCAATTTTATAAGTGTGTAAAGTAAATATTCAGTGGGGGACCTGAAAGGGGCCTAAGCACACAAGGATGGCATAAATAAATAGGCATGGCGAGTAAATAGAAATCTTTTCCAAACCTCACAAATTCTCTATGAGTTCAGCTTTTGTGTCATTTCGATAGCATCTGGGTACATTTAAATAAATAAATACCTTTGCATTTTAAACATTTTGAAATTGTCACTCTCCGAATGCCTACATACAAAGCCAGGTCTTTAGTTTTTTCCTCAAAACCAGGGGCTAGCCTGATGTCACTGGGAAAGGAGTTCCACAGCCAAGAGGTTGCCACTGAGAAGGCTTTGTCTCTCGTCCCCACTAATCACACTTGCGAAAGAGAGCAAGGTCTCCCCAGCAGATCTTAAAGCTCTAGTTGGCTCATAAACTGAGATACTGGCATCTGTTAAGGCAATAAAGGGAACAGAAGTCTGAAATAAGCTTGAATCCAAACCTACTTGGCTTGGATTTGGTCTTTCTGAGAAGCAAGCAGCCTTGAATAATAAAACAAAAGCCAGCAAATGGACCTTGTTCTCCAGTGTTTTTCTGCTTGGAGTTTTTATGACTTTTTGTTCATTGAGGTAGAATCAGTGGACAGAATAGCTGTTTGATGTAAACGTTGCGGAAATACTGGAACTCCTTGGGAATTATTATATTTATTAGTTTTTAGGTTCAGACAAAGCAGTGAAATTTAAAAGTTAGTGAAAAACAGAAATAAGAAGAAAAAAAGGAAAAAATCTGCAGAAGTGCAAACATTGTGCTGCTGGGGGCTCGTAGAGGGGCAAAAAAGAGCTACCAAAAAGGCCATCATGTTGTGTGATAACCATTAAAGTGGCATCAAATTGCATTAATTCTACTGTGCAGATTTGTCCTCTGTTGTAAGATTTGAGCACATTTGGATTGAAACTGAAGTATCAAGTAAGAGCAGTAGCTGCATGTAGTAAACAGGATTCACTGCAACAACAAGCACAATAACAACTTTATTTTTATATCCCTCCACCATCTCCCCGAAGGGACTCAGGGCGGCTTACATGGGGACCAGACCTGGCATAAACAAAGATGACAAGCTAAAACACAAATTAAGGACATAATATCATATAAACAGTATAACTGAAACAGTTAGAACCAGAAGAGTAAAAACATTATAAAAATACATTAACTGACTTCAAACAACCAGTAACCAGGAAATGGTGAGCATGATCAGATTTGAGAGGGTGGGGCATGGACTTGTGCAAAATGCAGACTATAGAGCTGGGGCTGGGAGTAAAATGCTGAAAACCCAAATCAATCAGGCTGAACAGACCTGGTCGGGGACTTAAACCGTCATTCAAAGGCTCACAGGAACATCCAGGTTTTCAAGTCTTTATAGAAGGTGGACAGAATGGGGGTTAGTCTAATTTCCCTTGGAAGCGAGTTCCAGAGCTGGGGGTCCACCACCGAGAAGGCCTCTCTCTCATCCCCACCAACCGTGTTTGTGACGATGGTGGGAGCAAGAGAAGGGCCACCCTGGCAGATCTTAGAGCCCATGTTGGTTCATAGAGGGAGATACGGTCGCGAAGATAACCAGGACCCGAACTGCAGTGTCCATATTCGTAGCAAGATGAGCTACTTCATGAGACAGTTCATAATAGGCAAGATGAGCTTTTCTTGTCCTGGCAGAAAATTCTGGCTATTAATATTTTCTAACATCTATAATCCCTAGAGAAAACCTGGTTTTTGAATTATCTTTGAAAGAAAAAAGATAGTCTAGTTTAGTCATGCATATGATGCATCTTCTTTTATTCTGATGACCATGTGATATATCCTTTAGATAAGATCACAACTTTATGTCCACTGTAGAGGAGACACTATTCACATAAACCCCAAATTCATGTATTAGAAATCGTCAGAGCCGTGGGAAAGATCCTATACCAGGAGAAGGATGTGTGTGAACGCTTTGTCCTCCCAGCAGTAACCTTAGTCTGGATCAAGGTCTCCGCTTTTCCTGTTTGCATTGGAAGAGAAGAAAACCTCCCATTTGGGGCAGTGCAAGCTTTTCTTCCAAGGCAAATTGCAAGCGCAAGAGGCCCATCCAAACTCAAGGCTGTGTCTTATCTGCTTTGTTGTTTGGTTCACAAAACCAGCTCCCTTTTTCTGAGCAGAAGTTGAGTTATTCACATAGCATTTCCCAACCAGCTGTCTAATTCTTTGTTTCTTTTTTCTTCTCATCCCTCGTTTCAGGAGAAAAGCCTTTCACCTGCAGCTGGGAAGGCTGTGATAAAAAGTTTGCCCGCTCCGATGAACTTTCTCGCCACCGCCGAACTCACACGGGGGAGAAGAAGTTTGCGTGTCCAGTCTGTGACCGCCGTTTCATGCGTAGCGATCACCTCACGAAGCATGCACGGCGGCACATGACTACGAAGAAGGTGCCCAGCTGGCAGGCCGAAGTGGGCAAATTGAACAGAATTGCCACAATAGAGAAGCCTAGAAGCGAGAATGCTTTGGGCATGCTTCTACCTATGCTCTCTTCTGGCTAAAAGGGCAACTTGGTGAAAACGAACATTTTGAGAAAAGTTTGGGTGGTTCCAAAAAACATACAGCTTGGACTAATTTTCCCTTCTTTAAAAAAAAAATTCCACAAGTTATGCTTTTATATTGGGGAGGGGGAAACATGTAAAAGTGTTCTGTCTTACGCCTTTTCTCCCTACTTCCCATTTATTTTAAACCTTATTTAACCATTTGGTTTTATTCCGTCGTAGACCCCTTGCCCCAGTACTCTGAGGCATTCACCAGCACTTTAGAAAAACCAATATTGGAGTCCCAGGGCAGTGAGGTTGGGTGTTGACACCGGGTTCTTTTCTTAAACCATATCTTCTCTTGACTAACAGTAACTGATAGGAAGTGAAACAGCGTGACCTCCTATTTTCCCTCTGAATTTTATTAAGACTTTTTCTGCAGATCTTGTATTTGTTCAGCTGTTTTCTTTTGAGAGAAATAGTATGCAAGTTTTCTTTTGAGAGGAATAGTATGCAAAAAATCAGAGTAGCCCTTTGGAAACTGTTGTGGTTGAAAACTATCCAAAGTGTTTTATAGTGCAGTAACCAGAGCTTGGGAGAATTACTCTCTGGACTACAATTCCCAGATTTTTCTACAATTCCCAGGAACTCTGGGAGTTGTGATCCAAGATGTCATATTTCCAAACTCTTAATAATATTGTGGTTTGATACTTTGTTGAGCAACTGAATCCACTATCTCTCGAATCCTTACAGGCCAGGTGTTATTTCCTTTGTTTTGAAGTAAATGCCTTGAATTTGCGTGAATAATGCAGGTAGTCCAGGACTTCAATCAGCATTGTTGAAAACTATTGCCCATGTAGTAACTCCTCGAGGCCAACTACAGCCTGAAAATACATTCCCTAAGCACCATTGCATACATATGCAATACCTGCTGGTAGTCAAGAAAACGCTATGGACATGCAGATAGGACATCAGCTGTGTTATGTTCCTGTGTGAGTCTGGGTTTAGCAGAATGGCTGCATGTGTTCTTAACTACCTTTAAATCATGTCACAGACACATCCCTGCTGCAGCCAGTCCAACTTGGCCTGGGTAAGAAAGAGTGCTGTAGCTGGCCATTAAGGTAGTATTTGCTTCTGTTATGAAAGAAAAGAACAGAGTCCGGCTACTTGGAAACACTGTTGCTAATGTGTTACTGCAAAATCATCAAAGGAAACTTAATTAATGGACATCAGACCATAACTATTGGCTGAGAACCTATACTGGGTAATTTAGCAAACATCTACACTATAGAATTAATGCACTTTAACACCACTTTAAGTGCTATGGCTCAATGCTGTAGAATTGTGTGAGTTATTGTACAAGGTCTTCAGACTTCTTTACCAAAGAGCACTGGTGCCTCACCAAGCTGGATTCCACAGCATTGAGCCACGGCAGTTAAAGTGGTGTCAAACTGCATTATTTCAACAATGTAGATGCACCCTGGCTCAAGCTCCCAGACCTATCTTAACAGCCAGCAACTACACTAAGTGATGAAAGTGTTTTCTGCAGGCAGTTGGGGCACAGCAGGATGAGGAGGTTGTGATCATGGTAATAGTGCCATGATAGTGAATATGCAATATTAATGAATACAGAGCAGTTGTAGATTTGTAACACTTGGTTACAAATCCAGCCATCATCATCTCTAAGAAGTGACATTTGCCATGATCAGAATTGGCCAACTCTTTCCCAAATTATACCATGAAACACCATTGTTACTCAAAACCAAATGTGTCACAATTCAAATCCAAATACCATTTCAATGAGGAAAATAACAGATCCCATACTCATTGTTGAGTGCAACTTGAAACAGCTTAGGTCCAGCAAATTAATTTTTAATTGCTTGTTTCCAAACTGAGAACGGTTTCAAGTGTGTCAGGGCTTCATGTGTTTATAAATTGCAACATGAAAACAATACTTTTAGTAATGTGCTCCCCAGGGTGGAGGGTGCCTTGTCAGTGGAAGGGACCTGATAAGCATCAAGAATTTTAGATCTATCCCTTTGCATTGGCTAGAAAACAAGGGCTTAACTCGGGTTGGAGTATATCTTTGATTTGTTAGGGTACGGATATGTAAAGGAAACACCCCCATTACGTTGGTGTATTATATTAGTCTAAAATAAAAAGTTTGTGGTCAAATTTGAAAAGGCACTGTTTATGTCATCATTTTTATACCATCTAAATCAGTGGTTCCCAACCTTTGGTCCTCCAGGTGATTTGGACTTCAACTCCCAGAAATCCCAGCCATATTACCAGCTGTTGGGAATTATGGTAGCTGAAGTCCAAAATGTGGAGAACTAAAAGTTGGGAACCACTGATCTAAACAAACTTTGAGAAACTTCTTAGCAAATCTTAAACTTGAAGGTTCCTTGCAGGATGAGCAGAGCAAAGCAAGCTGTTTACTGTTTTGGGTCAGTTGTAACTCCAGATTGAATCAATGGTGGTCTGCTCATATGTCAGGAGTTTTTCTTCTTCTCATTCCTGTATTTGTCAGTTACCAGAACTGGTTTTGGGTGGAGCAGGAAGCAGGGGACTCCATCCAGCTGAAAAAACACAGCCTAGTCAGTGGAAAACACTCATAGAGTACAAACCAGTCTTAACAATGTTTGCATTTTTTAAAAATGAGAGAAATTTATAACTTGTAGGATGCTACATATGAATTTCATATGGTTACAGAATAGATACTTTTCTTTCAAATTGCCTTTAGAAGTTCCACAATGTTTTATAAAAAGGGTGATGCTGCTACTGTGGTCTTCCTATCCCAACCTGGAACAACTGATGACTAATTTTTTAAAAAATCACTAATTTCAGAGTTGCTTTTTTGTCGTTTGGAGAGTATTCTGAGAGAACTCAATTACAGGCAGACCATTCATCTACCACTTCAGGTGGTTCGTGACACTTTTCCATACATATATTTAACCAAACTGAGGAAATTGTTTCTTATAATGATGTGAATGCATGGTGTATATGTGTGTGTGGTATAATAACTGACACTTCATCAGGATCTAAAACCAGATTGACCTCTCATAGCTATTACATCAATCTGATATCTTTCTTACTAAGCCAAGGTTGCAAAACAATCATTTGTGTGTTTCCGAAAATAATTCTGCTGATGAGAGAAATTTACCAGAAATACATTTGAGGTTGAGAATTGCAACTGGAAACTCTCAGTTGTTACTTTTTTAAACTTTGCATCAGCGCAGTTTGGAAATGTTACCTCTTTGTTCTTCAGTTCTCTGAATCTGTCAGCATGACTAGGAGAATCTGGAAGCTGTAGTCCAGAAAAGTAAAATTCCCAAGCTTTGTACTGGTATATTGTTTCTTGGATAATGCTGGTCCAATTCCAGCGCATATAGGGTTGCTGGTGTTTTTCCTGGCTGCATTTGTGCCTCTTGGAAAAATGTCAGATCTGCAGAAATTGAAGAGGGGAAGCTTACCTATCACTTCATCAGCATGCTAGGAAGTGCTTCAGCAGATAGACTGCTGCTAGCATGGTGCCTGCTGGATCTGTGACGGGGTGGGAAAGGTTGGCAACTCTATGTGATTTAAGAGTCTGTACTATTCACACTGTTTATTCTGATACAACTGTATTAAATTTAAAGAAAACTCATGAAAGTTGACCATAACACAGACAAGTATTTCTTTGTCTGGAAAGAAAAGCAACAATTACCAATGAGATAAGAATTAAATGTCACCTTGGGTTGATGAGAATTTTTCAACTTGACCTGTATTCAATATATTGTAAACAAGCATCCTTTGGATTGATGTAATACTAGGCTTGTGATGTAAGAAGCCAGAGGCATTCTTCAGTCATGTTGTGTGCTGATTGGGAATGTAGCTCCCATGATATCTCACCATTGATTTTATTGAATAGAGTTGATGGGAATTGCTTGAGAATATGTGAGGTCTTTGTTAAATTTGAGGATCAGAACATGAAGTTTATTGGGATTTTAAGCAGGATATCCTGAATGATGCTTAGGTGCATTTGATGAATAACTATGATTATTTATGAATATAGATTGGGTTGGTCAGAAACAGGAACCTGAGTCATTTGGATCCCCCCAATGACTGCCTTTTCAGGTCTCCAGAAACCCCAATGTGCAGCTGAAATATGCAAAATGTACACATGTTTGGGAGCCAGTTGGTGTTAATCTGCATTCAGACAAGCAGTGTGCTCCCCAAGCTCCTTGTTTTAACGAAGAAGTGGTGAAAATGTGCACCTACCCCATGGTAGTGAGTTGGCAATATGAGTCCTCAGCAATTACCTACCCATGAGGCAAATATTACCGAAACCACACTCCAATTTGTATGTCTGTATGATTTCGATCTACCACATATCATCTGTCATAGCAAGTGCCAGCTATAGAATAAAGATCCTTTTGAAGCAAAAGGTGAAAAGCAAAGGATAAAGAGCATTTTTCAAAACAATATGAATTTTTGCCAAGCATTATGCTGTACACCGCTTTGAGTCCCCCTAGGGGTGAGAAAAGCAATATAGAAATGCAGTCAGTAAATAAAATAAATAACAGAAATGACTATTATATTCATTCAGTGTTTTGGAGCTTGAAAGAAGAGAAGCAAATTGGCAAAAAATGCAGTATGCATAAAAAAAACCCAAACTGCAACAGAGCCATTCCTTTGGAACCACTGTTTCCCCTTCTGCTCTTCCTGGATGTCATTTCGTTGACATTCATTTGAAGTTGCCTGAAATCAAAATGTTTCCCTTGTCTACCTGAGAGCCTTTTCAAAGATTTCCCGGTTTCTAATCCTGAACACTAGCTATCTGATGTAAGACTATGGGAACCTGTTTTGGTGTAGTAAAATATTGTGCCTAATATTTTATATGAGTAAACCTTGTTTTGTTCTGTTCTTTTGTTCAGCATTTATTGTGAAACCCATGTATATGTGTTTGTATATGCAAATACTGTTTGTACTTCTTAAAGGGCTGCATTATAATTTCTCTCCTAGTAAAGTGGATATTTGCATAAGCTGTGTGGCTCTTAATTTCTCTCCTCTCCAGTTGACCTTATTGCAAAGCAATACAGAAAAATGAGTATGAGTAGTTTCTCTTAAGGCGAATTGCTGGATCTCAGATATAAAACCCAGCTTGGTGTATTGGTTTGAATGTTGGACTGGGATCCTGGGAGACAAGGGTTTGAATCCCTGCTCAAGCCGTAGGAAACCACATATGACTTGGAGCACATTGCGTAGTCTTGCCACCTCAGAGGAAGGCAATGGCAAATCCCGTCTGAATACATCTCATCTCATGACAGGGTCACCATAACTGAGTTGACTTGAAGGCACATAAGAACATCAAAGTGCTTCAAGTGTGTTGTCTGGGTAATACTTTTTTTTTATGTCGGGAGCGACTTGAGAAACTGCAAGTTGCTTCTGGTGTGAGAGAATTGCCCGTCTGCAAGGACGTGCCTAGGGGATGCCTGGATATTTTGATTTTTTACCATCCTTGTGGGAGGCTTTTCTCATGTCCCCTCATGGGGAGCCGGAGCTGACAGAGGAAGCTCATCTGCACATTCCTCAAATTCAAACTTGTGACCTGTCAGTCTTCACTCCTGCTGGCACAAGAGTCTAACCCATTGCGCCACCGGGGGCTCCTTGGGTAATACTAAATTGCTATTAGAGATTGGCAGGGGGAAAATAGTTGAAGCTGAGAAAGAGTGGCCATACTGAGACCGCAATATAAAGATACCTTTCTCTTGCTCCATACATGTCTGCTTGCAATCCGTATCAATTGTTCCAGATGTAGCATGCATGGGCAAACTTGGGCCATCCAGGTGTTTTGGACTTCCAACTCCCAGAATTCCTAACAGCAGGTAGGCTGTTATGAATTCTGAGAGCTGAAGTCCAAAATACCT